TTTTTAAAGAATGTAAGACTTCTAATTTTGTCCTTTCTTGAAGACTATAAATTGTCATTTTGAGTGCTTTTACTGTAAATGAAGCATAAATAGTAGGTACAGTTCTTCAGTGTTATAACCTAGCACAGAAGCTCAACTTCTGTGCTCTGAGAAGCCTCCACACTCTCCTTTATCCCCTAACTACTGGAATACCCAGGCATCGCTTACCACATCACCAGTTTTGTTTGTTGTTTGTCTTCCACATAGAGAGCTTCTGAGCTTTAACTTCCAAAGAAGACACCCACACTAAATCACCATCCCTGTCCCTATATCAAGCCAATCTGCCTGTCTACTATGTCCTCACTGCTCTCTTTCTCAACCATGGATGATGCACTTCTAAACTAGAGGTTTAATGGTTACTAACATTTTCCCAAAGAATCTTACAATATCATTGTCCTTTCTTCTTTATTTTAAATGAAAACTATTTATTCTACCCTTCAAACCACTCTTACTTTTCTCCATTGCAAAATCACGACTGTTACTTCTGTCTTTATCAACTTATATCAGATGAAAAACAAGAGCCACCTAACTGGTTTCTTCTCTTCTGGATACTTCTCATGCAGTCTTCTGTACTTTGACTTCAGTGTTCTGACTTTTCTGTCTACTGTATACTCCTCGGAGTTTCAAAGTACTGTAGACAGTTATATCCTATGAAGTTTTAAAGATAACACTTATAATGGACCCAGGGTTAAGAACCACAACATCTGGGTTTGTTTGTTGGTTTGTTTTGTTCCTGATAAGTCACCAAAGAATTTGCATTACTTTTGTTTTTAGGTTAGCATTTGAAATATAACCCCCTTGCAAAGATACCACAGAGAAACACAATGATAAAATAAAATAGGTAACATATACTGCATACCTACTGTGTGTCCTTCACTCAGACAACAGCAAGTGTTCCCTTTCTTTCCTGTTACTGATTATAATGCTCCTTTCATTTCTCCCTCTGCAAAATAAAAACAAGCCCCCCCGCCAAACAAACAAACTAAAAACCTTCTAGGGCCAAATTAACTAGATTTTCGGTGGATAGTCTACCTATTACATCAATTAAACAAAAATTCTTTCATATGCATATCAGTGTGTACACACACACACACTTTACTGACTGTATCAGAATGGGTGTTGACTAGGGAAAACATAAAAAGAAACCTCACTTGAAAAAGAATAAAAAAAAGAGAACATGTTTAAAAGGTGGCCATGCAATTGGTTAAGTTATTAACACAGCTGTGGAGGAAGTCTACTGAAAAAAACCAGTTCAAATTAAAGTGGTTTCCCCATAATCCTTTCATTTCAGGTGTTTGCTCAAAAAGAAGTGACAGCTGGAGAGAGGGCTCAGTCACTAAAGTGCTTGCCTAGCAAGCATGAGGACCTATGTCCAGATCCCCAACACCATAAAAAGGCACAGAGGCACAACACCATGCAACTAAATCCCACAATCTCTGGGGACAGGTGGACAGCCTGCCTAGCCTAATTGGTGGGCTCTAGGTTCAGATAGAGACCCTGTCTCAAAAAATGAAATGAACATCCAGAAGGAAAACACCTGAAGTTGACCTTTATAGGTATATGTACACATATACAGACACAACACAGACACATACTCACATACCAAAACTACAAAATAAATAAATAAATAAATAAATAAATAAATAAATAAGCAAAAACAAAACTGAAAATCCACCTGGCTCCAGTTCAGTTCTCAATCAAGTAAATCTGACCAAATCAACAAAGTCCTTGTTTAGAAAGCAAACTTAAACTATCTATTTCTTAAATAAGCTGTCTATAAAGCTTACAATCAATTTCAAATACTTTTAAGTTGCTGTGGAATTCAAATTTTATAGTTCTGTATATCAAAGATAGAAAGTACCAGTTTGCGCAAGCATACTTTCCTTCACATCAATTCAAATTATAACAGTTTCTTATCTACAAATGGCTGGACATCAAAGCATCCCTTTTCATCACCAAAGCTAGGAATTGTGCTCACATTTTCTTTTAGTAACTTATTAAGACACATAGTACTATCTCACACACTGCCCTTTATTAGTCAATCGCATTTCACTTATACAAACTGGCATAAGATCTTTGAGTGGTGATACAGGGCAAGCAGTAAAATTGAGCCAAGTAAAACTGTGGTAAGAGTACATTGAGTCCATCTTTTTGACCTTGTAACACTATTCGCCTTCCCAGCCAGAGCCTGCTCATCACTGCCAACATTTACCAGTTGGAAAGATTAGAGCAGGGAAGGAAAAAACCTTTTCTCATCACAGCAGGAAGATCCCATTTTCACATTCCTTCCTATTGCATTTCAAATCCTCCATCAGAGATAAAAGCAAGGAAAACTGCATTCTTCAACCCTACATCTTTTACCCCTGTGTTGCTAGTTTCAGTAACTGCTTTGTTTCCCTTTCCTTTCCACCACAGCACATTTCTGTCATTACCAGTATAGCTCTGAAAAAGCTGTCCTGTATATTGTCCCAATTCAAACACATACATCTCCCATAGCCCATACCAACAATCCATACCCTTCTTCCATGCCCAACTTTTAGTGTTGCTTCCTGCTCTCCGTGTTCTCTTCTTGTCTAACATTGGGGTAGAAACTTTTATTTCCCTTAAAATAGTATAGCACTAATGGTGAAGAATCTCAGCTTCATGCAAGTTACTTTGATCTTAGGACTGGGTCCACTTGTCTATAAAAATGAAAGAATTAATTTAGGTTATACATTAAATCTGGCTCTTATGTATCCTGTCCCTAATGATGGAGATGCAAAAACTATGGATCTGAGACAAAAGGTACACAATTCAAGTTGAGAATCATTCATGAAAACCATGGGTTCTTACAATCTTACATTCCACGATTTCAGGTGAGACTTTTCACTGCATTTCCTGGTGAGAAAATTATTAGGAGCCTGTAGAATACAAATATGACTGGAGACCACCTGTACTATAGTACTATGTTGTACTAATAAATAACAAGAATTATTAATTTGGTTATATATCCAGGCTTTCTCAGAAGGCATTCAAACTGAGACTAGCTAGACTCATAACAAAGGTGAATGTTGGAAATGGCACACTCATTCAGATCATCTGTTTTGCAAGTTAACTAATGGGGTATTATATATCACTAGAGCAAAGCCGAGAGAGGCCTAGATTGTCCATGGAATTCAGGCCACTAAAATGCCCAAAGAAAAGCTTCATTCAAATGCTTAGACTGTCCTGTTGGGACTTCTTCAACTGCCTAGCACTACATCAGATCATTCACTTCCGAACTACCTGCATTGCTTTCAGCTCTGGGAATTTCTAAGCACCAATCCTTATTATGAACTAAGTGTTCCCCTCGTTAGAATTTGGGTTTAAAGACATGTTTAAACATGTGGGACTAAGCATGCATAAACAGCAGCTTAAAGAGATAATGACACATTAGCAGTGTGTTAATTTAAGTGGAACCTATTGGCTTATGAATAATGAATAACAATGAAATTATCACAAAAAAGGTTAACAATAGGAACTGAATTTACCTACTAGTCATTTTCAAAGATGTTCCTTAAGTGTGTACAAAATGGCATGATAAATTGAAGAAAAGTGGGTCCACTTATTTCCTCATTTCTCCGAACAACATAAAAACCAACAGAGAATGCCATTATGTAAGTGCATTTTGTGACTATCAAGAATGATGCAACTGTTGCTATGGTAACCACTCATTTTATTGAATCGTAGTTGGGAACTAAAGCAATTTTAATAATAACAATAAAAAATCCAATACCTTAATATGCTTGCCAAGGTTCTTCTATTGGTATCTATCAAACAATAGCTATAAGCCATTTGTGGGGGATATCAAATGGCCACTATTAAAAGCCAGGATTGAGTTGTCAAGGAAAGAAACTTGGAATAGTTTTAAAAATAAAACAGCATCGACACTCAAAGGAAGAAGACTTGGACTCAACTTCTACAGTAATTGGAAGTGCATAACTGAAAAGCAACATGATCTCACAAGTCTTTGTTCCTTCACAGTCATAATTTCTCTTTTAACCTAAATTATTAACTGGTTAAAAGACTAACAGAAGAATATTGCTGAGTTTTCATTTTGCAATTATGCTAAAGCAAAAATCCGGTGAAAGCACCCCATTTTAATACTTAGGAGAATTGTTTTTTTCCCTGTGCATATAGAGAATAGGGCAAGTTTTCATCTTTGGAGTCTTTACAAAGTTTCTTTGTTTGAGAGGCTCCATTTACAAAATGCAAGAATAACTCGTAAAATCCAACTACAGACAATGTTCCGGCATAAGCAAAAGCCAATAAAGCTACTTCCATGGAGGGGGCTGCACCTATGGCCGGTTTCAATGGAATCCGTGTCTTTCAGAGTCTCTGTGGATAGACACTATTCCAAACTGCACAGAATCCTAAGAACCTGCCCCAGATCTCTTTCTTGCCTGCCTCCACAAACTCGAAGATGGAGCTGCGGTGGAGTAAAGAGCTCCCCGGTTAAACGACGTGAAGCACCTTGAGATCCTCTACCGGGCCTGCTGAGTGACTTCACAGCCCCGGGAGCCCAGGCAGGGGAGGCCTCCTCGGCACGGCCTTGCCAATGAGCGAAGAGGAAGAGGGGCTGTTGCCAAGCGAGCAGAACAACAGGCTGGTCCAGCGCAGAAGAGTGAGGGCAGCTTCGCTTCTGCCAGGCTCCTTCCTGGGTGGATCTTCCCTTGTCTTCGGGTCTTACCTGAAAGCCCGTCCTTCCCTGCCCCTCCGAGTGTGCGCTCGGTGACAGTGGCCTCAGCACAGGGCTGGGGACAGGGCCTGGGCCGGTGGCGACTGCCCATTAGGGTTCGGGGCACCGATCGCAGGAGGCCGGTCGCGGCCTGGGCAGACGTGCCGCCCCCGTGTGTGTCAATGGTGGCCTGTGGGGCTGGAGAGGGCTGACCCAGCCGGGGGACGCGCCGCGCCTCCCCTCCCCTCCCCCGCTGCCTGTTTACCTTCGCGGTACTTCTTGCGGAGCCGCCGGTGGACGCTCTTCACCACCCCGGACAGCTTCTCCTGCTCGAGCTTCCGCTCCTGCTCGCGGGGCTGCGCGCCGCTCGGGGGCCGCTGTCCGCGCGCTGCGCCTCGGCCGCCCGACCCGGGCTCCATCGCGCCGCCGCCGCCGCCGCCGCCGCCGCCCCTCGGGCCCCGCGGTCTCTCCTGGGACGGAGGAGGTGGGGAAGGAGCAGGCAGCAGCGGAGGCAGCAGCCGGAGGATGAGGCCGACCAGCCCTAGCCAAGGCCTCGGGGGCGGTGTCTTCCGCAGGCCGCGAGGTGATTGGTGGACTTCGGAGGGCTGGGCGGAAATGGAAAGGGCTGGGGGCCAATGGGCGGAGGGCAGCGGCGGAGCGCCGGTTTGTTTGGGAAGGAGCAGCTGGAGGAGGCGGAGGGAGCGCTGGGCCTCTTGCCAGGCCACGCCCCGGATGCTGTGCGGAGGAGCCCTGGCTGCCGGGGGGTGGGGGGCGGGGCGAGGGTCTGCGATGCGCGGTGCGCTTGCGCCTCCGAGTATGCTTACTTTGAGCTTCATTGTAAGGTCCTGCTTTGGCACGTCTCCCAACTTTCCGCTGTGTGTTATGATGTGATGCCACCATCTGAGTGCCGGTTGCACCTATGTAGATTCTCATCAACTAGATATCTTTCGAAGACTCGACTGCACAGGGCTTTACACTTCAAGAGTCCAAACTTCCATTTTTTTTGGGGGGGGGGGCGGGGTGGTCAAGGAGAGGTCAAGCTACCAAATCCGGATTTAATGCTCCAGCTAACAGTGGTGAATGGTAGACGAAAGGCTGCTGCATCAAAGACACCCAAATGGGGAAAAACTACAATAGAGGATGTGGAGCAACCAAGTTGGAAACATTAAAAGTCCACATCGCCTTCCCGTAGAACTTTTGTAGTCACCATTCGGTGGGGTTACTGGAAAACCTCCATTGACTGTAGGTCATTTCAGAACTCAGAAAAGTCTTCTCAGGTGTTCTCTCTCGCATGAGTTTGGAGACTTAGTCCTCTAGGGCATGCCAAGCTCGCGGATCAGCTTCCCCTTTCCTAACTCCTTTAGGCCTGGCATGGTGGCGCACAACTAATACCACCACTCAGGTAGCAGAGGCAAGTGCATCTCTGTACCTTCAAGGCCAGCCTGATCTACAGATCCAGTTCCAGACAGCTCGGCTGCTGGCGGTACTGCAGGCTAAGAATAAATTGTATCTGATTGTGCAGCTTTTGGTTACATTACATTGTATAGACATTGTTGCATTGAAACTTTCAGGTCAAACAATTTTGCAATATTAGTAACATTCTCTTTCTGTAATTGTCAGCTCCAAAGGAAACGCCATTTCCCCAAATTCCGAAGGTCAAACTTAAGCCAGCATTCCTCGGAACCCAGTGAAGCAGGTTCTACTCTACTAAAGGAACCATTTCTCTTACCATTGGCAGAAGGTACAAATGCTTATCTGTGGTACCTATTGGCGCACCAAAGTTTTTGCTGGCCTCCAGGCTCCCTCAGCATCTTAGAGTCCATACTGGCACCCCCCAACTTCCTCTACTCTGCAGCTTCCCTTCCCTCAGCTTCTCATTCTCTTTATAACCCCGTTATTTTGGCTGTGTGTACTCTTGATCCTCTTTTGGCCTTTCTCTCACCTTTGCAACCAAACCCCACCCCACACCCACACCCACCCCTGTGTTTCTCTCCTCTCTCTCTACTCTGCATCTGTTTTTCTCCTGGTCCGGGCCGGTCTTCTTTCTCTCCTCTCTGGACTCTTCCAGATGCCTCTGGCTGGTCTCTCCTTCACATCGACAATAAAAAAAAAAAACTCCCCTCAACCGTACAATAGACTGATGATATACTCAGTTTATATAGTAACCATTTCGTGTTATCTCTTGGGTTAAGATGACCCTGAAGAACAAAGCATTACACACGTTTTCCACATCACAGGAGCAGAGATATCACAGTGGATCAGGCACAGGCAGAGATAAATAAACTCCAGAAGAACTAACAAGGAAACATGTAATGTGGCCTTACATAGGGAAATTTTGTTTGGGAAAAAAAAAGGAGCTTGGGTGGTTTGTTTGTTTGTTTTTCCATATATGAAAGGCAAATAATTGTGAAAATATTTGAAAGCTACATAGTAGTTGGTAGTAAAGATAGGAACATATGTTATTTTTACTAAATATTAGGTGTTCAGTTGTTTCTCTCATTTGCTTTGTTTTAATATTAACCTTTTCTACTTCCATCTAGGAAAGTCTAATGATGTGCTTTTATTTAAACATTTTTAATTTAATTATGTGTTCATGTGTGGGTTTGTGCATGTACATGCTATATGCCCTCTGGGGCCATAGGACAGCTGGAGCTAGAGTCAGTTACAGGTAGTTGTGAGTCATGTGGGAGCTGGGAACTCAATTTGGGTTCTCTGCAAGAGCAATAAGCTCTCTTAGCTGCTGAGATATCTCTGTAGCCCAAGGTTTGTTTCTTTCTTTGTTTTGCCTTTCAAACTACTGGCAGATGAATTTTTAAAGAAAGGTTAAAAACATTGAAGTGAATTTGGAAAATACAGGAAGGATTGAAGAAGACAAAACTCAAAGTTTTACCAGTGAGAGGTAACATCATCATCATCATTGTCATCATCATCGTCATTATTATTGGCCTGTATGTACTAACTTCAAATGAGGTGTTTCTCTAATGGCTAGGTGGTAATTTATATTATGGTTAGCCTACCATTTTATTAGTTATGTTGTCTCCATTTTCCTCCATTATAAGCCATATTACATGTGATCGATAACTTTGATGGTTTTTATTTCATTATATATACCATTAAAGAAACCCCATTAAAGTCCAGTTTCTAATTCAAAGGGTTATACCTATTATACTTTTTGATACCTGTTATCAAGATGCCTTTCCAACATGGGCTAGGAGTTTACATCACCTCTGGCAATGAGGGTGGATATTTATTTCTTCGCATCATTAACACAGATAATAAGAACTACTATTTGCTGATTGTTCATAGGGGGGTCTGTCAAAATAACTATATTTCAAAAGTATGAGAAAACTTCTTGCCACTTCTTAAGTAGTTGCACTGTTTGTCATAATATTTAGTTTAACATATTACTATAAAAGAAACTGGATAAGCAGTCATTTTCCATGAAAATTGAAAAAAAAAAAAACCCATGTTGTAATTTGTTTTATAACTTCTGGCTTTCTTGAGAATCAGCTCAAGAACTGGAGATTCGATGGTTAAATTTTACTTAAAATTTTCATGAATTCAAAGTGAGCCTAGGCTTATACATCCTGAGAAAGACCAATATTGAGTTTTCTTTATAAGATATGACAAATGGCCACAGAACACACTATGAAGGATGTTTACAACTACCATCCCCCAGCCTAACTAGTCATACTGGGGAAAGCTGTACATCTGCTCTGGTAGAAAGGGAATGATAATGGGATTTTCCACCTCAGTGAACTAACTGTTCTTGTTGATGGAAAAAGGCATTCACTGTAGCATGTAGGTTTAGTGTTATACTGAACAAGCACACCTATGTCCTAGAAAATATCAGCACCTTTCCCTCATGTGGGAGAAGTTTTTGATTTGCTGTAAATACATTAGTTTTTAAAATTCTTCCAATATTAATTTAAATGTCTTCTGGAGACAGAGGTTGTTGGAATTCAACATTATACACTGAGAAGGACAAAGCAGCCTTGGAGAAAGTGCCATTTCTTAAGAGCATTCTCAACCCCTGGTCATTAATTTCTTGTCTTCACTTCTTGCAGCTTATCTGACCACTTTCTATACCTTCCCCCAGGCATGTCATAGCAAGGTTCACCTGTTGAAAAAAAAACCATCTCACACAGTGGTAAGGAAATGACTTGTCCTTTTTGTTTATAGTCACCCTATTTATAAGAAGAACAAAGTACTGTGGGTGATAAAGAGGGTTAATACAGTATAACAAAGTGGAAACTATATATATATATATATATATATATATATATATATATATATACTTGGTGAAGAAATCAAACTTTAAACATCTACATCACAGGTTCCCGCTGCGTTTGCAAAAGTGCAATCCATTTCCTTCTGCTTATATTGAGCATCTCTAAGGAACAGAGAACTGCTAATGTTAATTAGGAACATTTCAATGACCTAAAATAACATACTCTATTTTTCATTAATTCTGATGGTGCTGTCCACTTCATTTTGGCCTTCTTTATTACCAAACTTTAAATGTATTTTTAAAGTTGTATAGTAAAAAACCCTATATTAAATTTATATTTATAACTCATTAGCAGTTTGCATCAATAGTGCAAAAAGATTTGGTCATGTCAGAAACAAACAAAAAAATCATCTCATGACTTTAGGAAAAATTCAGTTAAAATGATGACTAGATGTGTGGCAGTTTCCTCCAAGGTTAAAACCTTCTATTTTGGAGGGAAACTTGTTAAGATGTAGCCATAAAATAAAGGTAAAACAATAGAATACTTTGTGATAGGATGTTTACAAGAAGGTGAAACAAATAACAGGGGAAGTTAAAGTTCTAAGGGGAAGTTAAACACTCTATGCTATAAGGAAGCTCTTAAGACAGGAAGAAAACAACTCAAGATAGCTTCAGGAAGTCCCTGAAAGTGGCCAGATTCACTAGTTCCCCTCCTTCCCCAAGAGTAAATAAATTGTGAAGACTGCTGAGAGTTCCAGGCAAGGCCAACCACCTGAAAGAAGCAGAGATTAGCGGAGCTGCCCAGATGAAACAAAGATCAGCTAAATCCCTGGAAGACCCTCAAGTCAGCTATGCTACCTGAAAATGATACTTTTCAGTCTGCTGAGCTTTGGGCAGGTGTCATGGGATGTTACTTTAACTAGGCAAATATGTGCTGCATTTGTTTAATTATATAAGGATGTTTTGCTGTTTCATCTTGGCTGCCTAAGATACCTCATTAGTCTAACAAAAAGCTGAATGGCCAATAGGTAGGTAGTAGAGGCACAGGCAGGACTGGCTGACAGAGAGAATAAGCAGAAGGAATCTAGCTTGGGAGGGGGGAGGGCAAGCAGACAAGGCAGAAAGAGAGGGAGATGCCTGGGGCCAGTCAGGCAGCCAACAGCCAGTCAGCCAGTCATGGAGTAGGACATACAGAATGAAATAAAGGTAAAAATCCCTGAGGCAAAATGTAGAAGAAGAGAAACAATTTAAATTAAGTTATAAGAGCTAGCTAGAAACA